CTAGTATCTTCTCATCATCTTCTATTTGATTGATGTAAAAGTGAATTATTTGTTAAGGTCTACTGATTTAGAAGAAGAATTGGTTACGTTACTTTCTTAACAAGAGTTCTATCTAATTAAAAATACTTTATTCTAGCACACTCACCGGATTCGACGAATTTTTAGTAGTTATTGACCGAAGAGTAAGAGTAGGCCCTGAAGTTAGTAAACAAACAAATTAGTAGTTCGGAGAATTGAAAGCTCTTCGTGGCCACAATTGCGATAGTTGCTAGTTAGGTATCCAGGCCTAATGTACAGTAAACAGCCTTTGTGAACGTTCTTCTCCTCCTAACTATTGGATATGCCTCTGCGTGGCGGTTAGGACTAGTAAACAATAATTAGTTTGTTGAAGCCAAATATCCAAAAATTAATTGTTCACTACAAGTATTGTTTTTGAAATAATTGTTATGTATATATTTATTAAAAATTTTTTTTAAATAATTCTGTCTTTTAATACTAACGTTTAACAATTTGTTTAAATTTAGCAGCTCTTTAAATCTTGTATGATCGATTAAATATTTTTTTACTCATTTTAATAAATCTACCGTACTGTGTAAATTTGCTATTAAAATAGTAATAATAATAAATAAAAAATAAAATTAAAAAATATTTAAAACTATTTCGTTGTTTATTTTGTTTAATATTCAACACTTCGCAAAATCGGTTATAAAATCTGTGCCAAAATTCTTAAAACTTTAAATAAATATACATCGATAGCCTACTTTGATATGTTTTTATTTATAACTTTGATCAAAGGTATCTCGATAACCACCCAACCTAGTGTTGGGATCTGTTTGGAAAACATCCAGATATCCGTGGATGGTACAGATATTCGGATGTCAAATTTTGCTCACGGATAGTAAATCCGGATAACAAAAAATATGCCAGATGGTTATCCAGATACTATCCGGATGATTATATAGACTTTTTAATTTACTGTAATATGAATAAAACTATTGGTCAACGCATTCTAATTGGCTATTATCTGGATATCCATAATATTTATGGATATCCAGATACCTGCTTTTGAGCGCGGATGACCATCCGGATTCCAACACTATTATTTAGCCTGTAATTATAAAGAACATTTATTAATCAGTGAAATTAAAGACAGCAAGTCAAGTCTACAACCAAGAACATAAATGTTTGCTTACCACTATATCACGCCCCTCAGATCACTTCATTCACACTAATTGTCTTCTCCAGCCTGTAATAATAAAGAACATTCATATATTAATTGGTGAAATTAAGTCAGTATCTTACTTACCATTATATTGCCTTTCAAAGTTTCATTCGTTAATCATCTTATTTATATAATTTGATTGTGCCACGTACAAAACACATACTCAAATTTAACTTAAGTTTTACCTTCGATACCAGTATTTTTCTTTTGTAAATCTCTTATTATTCTAATTTCATTCTGATAATATTCTGCAACCCTTGATATTCCACTAGCGAGACCTATTTTTGAGAATGAATAAATGCCTTATATTTATCCTTTTCATTCCAAATCATTCATCTCTGCTAACTTTTGGTAATAATTGAATGCTTTGTGTCCATCCTTTTCAACCCATTTACTATAGTGATAACAACTTACAAGGACGATTTGAATCGTAGGATTGGTTTGATCATCTAAGCAAAAAAATCGATAATAACTGGATTTTGCTGCTTCTTTATTAGAAATTGGTTTAATATATCAAGAATTGAACAAAAATTTTTACCTTTCAATCTTTTTTTATTATAAAAATTACATATTTTTTTAGCAGGCTTATTGTCTAGTTAAAACCTCAGTTGCCAAATATACGGTTGACCCACCAAAACCTCAGGTGCTATATCTACAAACTTTTCCCTCTTTTGAAAATCTAAAATCAGCGACATGTACGTTCCTTAAAGTTTTTTGTAAATATTTCCACTGTGCAAACTCTGTGAACGAGCTCCTGCGAATGAACCGACTCGAAATCCAAAGCTATACATTGTAATAGACTCAATTTATTTTTCCATCCTCATTGTGATACTTACACAAGTTTTTTGTTATAACGAACCTTTTATTGTAAAATACATAACAATAATATAATCACCATAATTATTTCTTGACACTCCAAAACAATTCAAGAAAGAAAGATCCTGTACGTATCTAATTTCACAAAAATTATTCAATTCCTGGAAAATTCTTGCATATATTTGTTTGAATTAAGTGCGACATTTCACACATTCTATTAATTCTATCGGACTAGCCTGTAGGTACCAAGATTAATGCTATTAAATATGAAGTTAAAATTAGTGAATCAAGGTTAGATCTACCTAGTGGAAGTATATATATATTGTTACCAGAGCAACTTTGTTAGTTTAGAGTTTTGAAGACTAAGCGAAATCAAATTTTGCATTTACAAGTATAGGTTATGCGAGATGAATGTTTATAAAGTGATTCAGATTTAATGATATGGGTTAAGGAATGTATTTAGTTGGTACGTAGGTAAGGTAAATGTGTTATTATTTCATTTATTATGCGACATACCAGATCTCCTTTGGGTTTAAACCAAGATTTGTGATCTCAGTATTACATAGCACTTTATAACGAAATACAGGAAAAATATATACATGGAAAAAATTTACATCATTTTTTATATAATTGATTTTAATCTTTATTTTAAGTTTTATATACAATAATATACAATAATATACAATAATATGTATATATATAGTATATATATATAGCATTACGCTAACTCTCTTTTTTACTCTCTTCTAGCATTTTTTTACATATATAACCCCCCTCCTGTTTATATACCGCAGCTATTCTTCCTGGCATAGATTCATATAAGTTGTTAATAATATTAGTATCGATCATACCCCATATTCTTCTTACTTGATCCCATAGATGATCTAGAGTTTCAGCTGGTTCTCGTTCATGTAATTTTTCTAAATGTTGTTTAATTATACCCAAAGATCTTCTATTGTATTTAGATCAGGCGAGTATGGAGGCCAATCAAGAAATTCAAGATTTCGATAATGAAGCCAATTTTTAGTATCGCCTGATTTGTGAGCTGGGGCTTGATTTTGTTGAAAGATAATATCATTAACACTTAAATCGTATTGTAATAAGGTGCCAAAAAGCTTTTTGGCTAAAATAATATGATAGGCTTCCGAATCTATGCTATTTTCGATACAACATAAATGACTGACACCTTTAGAGGTAATACAACCCCAGATCATTACGCCTCCTCCTCCAAATGGTTTCGTCCCTCTAACATACTCATCTTGAAATGGATCTCCCAGGTGTTTCCAGTAAAACTGACGATGATTGTACCCAAAATGTATAAATTTGCTCTCATCTGAAAAGACTACTTTTTTTCAATCATTAGCAGTCTAGTTTAAATATTTTTTAGCAAAATTATACCTTTCCATTTTGGAATTTTTACTAAGAAGGGGTTTTTTGAGCTTTATATAAGAGGTATAATTATTATTTCTCAACACATTTCTAATTGTTTCCTTTGAAATGTGTTTATTTTTTTGTGCTGTGTAGTTAAAATGTAACTCACTAGCTGATATACCCTTCTTAGAAGACAATATATCAATCACTTCTTTTTCATCATCAGGTAAAAGAAGTCGTAAACGTCCTGCCCTTTTTCTATCTTTAACGCTTCCAGTTTCTTCTTTTCTTTTCCATGTTTTAGAAACCGTGGAAGATCCAACCCTATAAGCTTTCCGATTTTACGTGTTGAATAATTGAATTGTTTTCCAAGAAAACAAATAATTTCACAAACTACTTCAGGTATTTCTTCTTTAGATTCATCATTGGATTCATGCTTTTTAAAAGATCTAAAATTGTATTCTTCAGGTTTAAAAGAACTTTGAATAAGTACTTTAGACATTTGTTTTATTTTAGAAATATATATAACGAATTAAACAAAAATGTTAGGCGAAAACCTTTTATTTATATAGTTTTTATGACATTTTAATAATTATATTGCAATACTGTATAATCTAATTGGGGTGGGTGACATGGTGGTTACGAGCATGCTTTCTATAGCATGCCCAAAACCAAATGATTATATGGCATGCCCAAGACCAAATGATTATAAGGCATGTCACTTATATGATATACCTCGCTCTGATTAACCAGATATTTTGATATTCTGAAATATTCTGAGTAGAAAATAAATTACAAGAGAAAATTGAAGCAAAGGCCTGAAAATTCTGAAATGTGGTTTAATTATATTATGGCAAGCCTATAGTATGGCATGGCATGAATTTTGGCTAATAGCACACCGCATGCCAAATTTTTTTTGCTGTGCAACTCATTCTAAATATAATATGTATCTAATTGAGATCTTTGCCTTGAAAATATAGTAGGAGCATGGCTAAAAAATTTGGCATGCCACTTATCAGATTTTATACTAGAATACCGCCCTGGCATGTCAAGAGCATATTAGCATATCAACCCATCTAAAAATTCTAGACAATTCACAAATTCCAAAATTTTCCAAAGCATATATAAGTGGCATTCCGTTTCCACTGACCTTACCTGAAAATCACGTTATGGGATAGGTTAGTATCTAGGTTATTATACTGCAGCAAATAACATGATCTTAATCACGAAAACTGTTTTAATTAACGATTCGTAACTCACCTGAAGATTATGCGTATAATAAAAATCCTAATATAGAAATGTGAAAATTTTTGGTACTGTACTACGTATTGTAATATCGAAGATTTCCTTCACTTATTCGTGTAATAAAAACTTTGATCGCTCACTAAGTTAGAAATCATTAAAGCTATATATTACTTTAAAAATAGTTAATTTAAAATCTACCCAACTTACTTGCTACTGTAGAAGTAAATATACAAGACTCAGATCTGGTTCATTTCACAATTTTAAAACCTTTAGTAGACTCCAGTTTAGTACACTGGAAAAAAAATTTAAATACATACATACTTTATATTTGAAAAAAAAACACATCTTGTTAATAAGAATTTTGTGGTTCACAACTAGGTCTAATTCATGGTGGGCCTGAGATCTTGTAAATCTACAGGAATTAAAAACCAACTACTCGCTCTACTGCTAGTTAAAGCCAACCACAAATTTACTTGAACTGACCACCCGCTAATCAACTTATTTACCCATTAGTTTAAAACTTAGAAATGATATTTAAAGTGTAAAAATTTAAGACTTATAGTCTAATTCTAGCAATAAAAATTTATAATAAAAAAAAAATTATTTATTTTATTTTTATTATTCTTTTACATACTCTAATATATACTATATATATACGCTCTTTCTGATTCTAATCCTAATACATAACCAATTTATCTAAGATTATTTATATAGCCTATACTATAAAAGAACACTTATTAATCGGTAAAATTAAAGTTAGCAAGTCGAGTTCACAAACAGAACATAAAATAACCATTAAATAATGCCCTTCAAATAATTTCATTCGCATTAATCATCTCATTCAAACTGTGATTATAAAAAATATTTATTAATTGATGAAATTAAAGTAAGCAAGTCAAATTCATAAATCAAGAACATAAATGCTTACTTACCACTAAATCATGCCCTTCAAATTATTGTAATTGTCTTATTTAGCCTGAGTTATAAAGATATTAATTGGTGGAATTAAAATCAATAAACAAGTCAAGTCCACAAACCAAGAACAAATACTTGCATATTATATCATACCTTTCGAATCGTTTCATTCGCACTAATTGTTATTTAGCCTGTAATAAAGAACATTTATTAATCGTTGAAATTAGAGTCAGCAAGTCAAGTTCACAAACAAGAACATAAATGCTTACTTACCACTTATAATGCTCTTCAAATAATTTCATTCGCATTAATCATTTTATTCGGTCTGCAATTATAAAGAAAATCTATTAAACAATAAAATTAAAGTGTCAGCAAGTCAAGTTCATAAACCAAGAACATAAATGCTTGCTTACCACTAAATCATGCCCTTCAAATTATTGTATTCGCACCAATTGTTATTTAGCCTGTATTATAAAGAACATTTATTAATCAGTGGAATTAAAGTCAGCAAGTCAAGTCCACAACCAAGAACATAAATGCTTGCTTACCACTACATCACGCCCCTCAGATCACTTCATTCACACTAATTGTCTTCTCCAGCCTGTAATAATAAAGAACATTCATATATTAATTGGTGAAATTAAGTCAGTATCTTACTTACCATTATATTGCCTTTCAAAGTTTCATTCGTTAATCATCTTATTCATATAATTTCGTACAAAACACATACTCAAATTCTTTTACTTTTCTAGAAAGTCCAAAATCAGGACATATGCATTACTCATATTTTCACTGTGCAAATCTCCGTGAACGAGTTCCTGCGAATGAATCGATTTGAGATTCAATTATCTTTCCATCCTTATTGTGCTACTTGTACAAGATTTTTGTCATAACGAACCTTTTATTGCAAAATGCATAACAATAATATAATCATCATAATTATTTCTTGACACTCAAAAACAGCATACCTAATTTCACAAAAATTATTCAGTTCCTAGAAAATTCTTGCATATTTTTGTTTGAATCACGAATCACTTTAAGTGCGACATTCTAACACATTCTATTAATTCTATAAAACCAACGTGCCTAATATATGATTGCAAATCCTTCTTCCCCCCATTCGTTGTTTCATTTAAAAATCCTTGTAAAGGATCCTGTTATTTTCTAAATACAATTGGGTAATATATATTGTTGTTATTTGATAAACTGTCAATTTTTTTCAGCTACTTTTTTAAATATATTTAACTTGCAAGTACAAAGATTAATATTAATATAAAGCTAAAATTAGCGAATCAAGGTTAGTTCTAGTGGAAGTATTGTACGTACCAGAGCAGCCTTGTTAGTTTAGGGTTTTGAAGACTAGCGAAATTAGAAAAAATTGTATTATTATTAAAATAAATTTTAAGTGACTAATAAGACTAATAAATACTACGATTTTACTGGTCAATCATCAGTCACGGGATTTTTAATTTATTATATAATGTCTTCCTATGAATACGCTTCTGCGCTTTGATCATGTGACAAGTCATGCATATACTTGTGGCTGACGTGCAAAATCTATAAATTACTTTTGTGTTCGCTGATGCCTAAACAAAAGATCTGAGCTGAATTTTTAACCTAATAAGAGACTTAGAAATAATAACTTCGTATATACAATGATATGACTGCAT